TTTAACAATAGTATAAAAAGCAATGGTGCAAAAAAATAGCCCCCCAAAAAATTAATTTCTATGCTATTTTAAGTGTAATTGCATATTGACACAGTTTTACACAAATCTTATAAGAGTACTTACTATCTTATAATTTACTGTTAAAGAACCGTAAAGTAGTTTTTCACAAATCATAGTGCTTCAGCAATTTTTATTGGTTTTTCATAAAATGTTGCATAATAAAATAACATTTCGCGTTTGCTTTTATATATAAAAAGCAAACGCGATTTTATATTTGCTTTTTGCGTTATATATAAAAAGGAGAGTTTTGCTTTTAAACCTCTAACTTTGAAAAAATATCAAAATAGAAAACGTATTAATGCAGGGAATTGAAGAAAAGATGATAAATAATTACTACTGTAGAATACCTTTAAATAAAGGATGAATAAATAATTTTTCAATACAGTTGTAACTTGTATTAATTTCATTATTCTAATAACAGCTAAAATATCAAGAATTTTTATTTTTTTTAAAGATCTGGTCATATGATTTTTCTGTCTAATAATGCATGAAAGAATAAAATAAGAATTATATTTTTATGATTGGTTGTTGTGCCTAAAAGCACGCAACTACAAAAAATTATTCCTAATACGTCATAACGTTTTAACAATCTTCATTTGTTGCTGCGACAACATCAAGATTTTTCCTCAAAAAGGTTATATGCACAGTAAGCTTTTAAGTTTCAATTTAGTTTTTAACTATATATTGGATAAATTTAGAAGGCGAAGAAATCGTTTGCAACACTCAAACTATTCGATTACTGCTTTTCGAATATAATATACCAAATATACATAAATATGAAATTTTGAAGAATATGTATAAAGTTTTTAACATGTAGTTCATCTATCTCTCATATTTTACTTGAAAATATATTATTTACGCAGAGATCGAAACATCTACAATTTTGTAAGCTACTCGTTGTAAGCAAATGTAATACTTTCAAAGTACTTGAGTACCTCTGAGTTTTTCTTATTTTATTTTCCTACCTAGGCACACAAAATGCCTTTTTCTTCGAGACCCATCCATTTGAAGCTAGGCGCACATTAAATCGTCACCACGGATCGAACCCCAGTCCTTCACAGAGACGGCTAAGTTCCTTTAATCACTGAGCCGTCTGGACTCATTAAGCATAAATATAGAACATTAATTTATTCCAAATCTTTGCATAGGCGGTTTATAATAAAAAATATATTATGTAAACAGCTCTTCATGTTTCTGTGCACGATGTTTGGCATGCTATTGTAAATTTACCATGATTTTATTTAATTTCATAACCGTCGTTAAGCAGCCGACTCTATTTTGGGTTTACGACTACTAATGTTCAACTCCGTAGCCTTGTAATTTTAAACCCAATCCAGAAGACAAGGAATCATGTATTGAGAGAAATTTTGCCTTCGTCGAGGACTTTTTGATGGAACTAACCAGCATTTGCGTAACATGGTGAGAAAAACGAGAGCCTCCCATGGTCCGTAGATGGCGCTAGGGGTTAAAATTCGTCGTAAGACTTCCGGGTTATTACTTCCGACAGAGTTTTACGCCTAAGCTTGAAAAAGCCAATATAAATATCCAATATCATTACACTTGTAGTGTTTACAATATAACACGCTCTTTCAACAAACAACAAATGAATTCGGAAGACTGCAAACTTGCTATGATTCGACACAAAAAGAATGCCCAACGGTGCTATTTTACACAAACAGAGCCAAATAAGGGATTTTATCCTTATTATCCTTTATCAGCCAAATAAAGGATAAAACCTGGCAAACCTTACAATTTGTTTATGTTGCGATATTAATTTTCTTAAATTTGTTGTAGGCTTACAACCAGTTAGAATTTATAAATTACAGGAAACTCTTTTGAATAGAAAAATAACGCGTAATTTTAAACACAAATCACATTAATAAAACTTCCTAGAATATTAAGCCTGTTTACACATCGCATCGTAAGCATACCATAAGGCGGAAGGATACACCGGAAGTTTCTTAAATTCTTTCCTGTTTTAGGAAGCTTGTAACTGTTTGCATTCAGAAAACCATCCATATTATCATTCAACCTTTCTCTATACGAATCTCAATTATTTCAACATAGAAAAAAAAATCAATATATCAATATGAGAAGGAACGCATAAAGGAGGACACTGAACTAGCGT